GCAGGATGGTGTTCTGAACACAACCTCAACACCAGCAAAACTAAGGAGATGATGATTGACTTCAGGAAACACAAGGGGGATTCAGCCCCACTGACTATCAATGGGGACTGTGTTCAGCAGGTGTCCTCCTTCAAACTCATCGGGACACATACAGCTGAGGACCTCTCCTGGACTTACAACACATCCATGCTGGTAAAAAAGCTTAACAAGGACTCCACTTCCTAAGAATACTTAGAAGAAACCATTTGGAGGGAAAACTGTTGGTGGCCTTTTACCGCAGCACCAATGAGAGTGTCCTGACATTTTGTTTTACAGCTTGGTGTTCCAACAGTGAGGTGGCGGAAAGAAAGAACCTGCAGAGGGACATACACACCGCACAACATATTACTGGCAGTCCCTTAGCCTCGCTAGAAGACATCGCCAGCGTGCTGTGCCTCAGGAGAGCAAGAGCAATCATGGCCAACCCCTCACACCCAGCACAGCATATGTTCACCCTCATGCCTTCTGGCAGGAGGTATAGGTGCCTTAAAAGCATTTTCTCCCTGGGTCATCAGCTCCTTGAATTCATACGTGTGTGGATGCTAAGGGTAAGCTAAGTAAATATGTATATTCCTTTGAAAATACTATTTTACTACTTTTTGCTATATTATTCCTATTTTAGTATTTTACTGTTTTTTTATGTGCCAGGCAGAGAAGCACTGCAGTCTTATCGTATACCTGATGTGCGATGACAGTAAATATTCTGTTAGTCAAACATCTGAACTGCTGACGGTTCTTTATGAACGCCTGTAACGTTCCACTTCCTAAAAGCCAGTTGTTCCATATCTTATTTTCATGCCACATCTTCACAGGAGATTGAGGTCAAGCTTGCATTGATTGATTTAAAGTGTTTTAGCATGAAGCTTTGCTTTGGACATTCCCATTGACTTCATGTTTAAAGGGACAATTTGGTCATTTTTGAAGTGATGTTCTGTCGTGTAGTTATTAATACTTAGTTCACCGAGCACAAAATCTGAAGGGCACAAGTCTAAGGCTAGGCTAACAATGAGTCAAACAATGTTTTCTTGAAAGTTGCTTTTCCAGGCATGTAAAACTATTTCTCAAAAAATGACATACTGGTTTGAAAAAAATGCTACACGACCTAATACAGTATAATACCTTAACACTTTTACATGACACAGTATGTTTAGTTTGTTGCATCAACATTATTAAAGATGGACAAAGTGTCTTCACCCTCTGTTACTGAAACTGAAACCAACATATCTGTTTTCTGGAAATTTTGGGAATGGTAAATTTTCAGAGCCATGGTCTACGTACTTGGGATGTAGGGCTGTTACCTCAATATGAAATTCCCACCTACACACTTTACCAACTCACTATTAGGCTGCTGCAGCCTCAGTCGCAGTGTAACCAGACTCTTTTTAACAACCCCCACATAAATAATGGAAACTAAATATGTTGAAGTAATGCATATTTGAACATACAGCCAAGATGAGCACTCTTTATTCAGGAAATAAAACTGGTTAATGTTAGCTGATGTAATGCTCTTTCATACTATTATGTTGTATTTTGATTTTTTTTTGTTGTATGTATGAAAATTGGTATTAAAAGAACCTCACTTTTGCTAACAATTAACCTAATCTGGTGGAAGACTTCTGAATTTTTCCTCATACTTTGTTTCGTATTTTGTCTGTCGTAATGGTTGATAAGGTACTTGTCAGGAGGTGGATAGTGGAACACACTGGAATCCTAACAGTATTCAAATGTATCAGTCGAGTATAACCAAGTGTCATTTTTTGAGATAAGTTTATTTATGCTTAAAAACAAAAAAATGAGCCCTTGTTTGGCTCTTCATCAGCTTATACTGGACAAAGACTTTTGCCTTTTTCTTCATACTCATAATGATCATAATGATTAATACCAGGCCCTAATCACTGATTACTTTTTGACAGTACATCTCTCCAAAAAGTATAACCTATCACTTTAAGGCTTTACTTAAATACCAATAAAACTACTCTCCTTTTCTTGAAAATAACAAATAAATAACTTGGTTTATCCCACTAATATTGTTACTCTTGACAACACTAATAATAATCATGAGCTTTTAATGACCTTTTTACATGGCTCTACACAACTGCCCTTAAACATATAAAACAGTCTCTATATATTCCTGTATATATTTTCACATCCAAAAATACAGTTTATTTGTTAAAGCTTTGTGTGACACGTGGAGGTGAGCGCTACATACTGCATGAGGATATGATCTGTTTACCTGAATGCAATCATAGCAGCAGGGATAAATATATATATAACCACAGCATTGTAAGCACGTGACACACGCTGATCTTCAGTATACCATGGAAAGAAGCGTGACCTTGATAATGAGAAAAAAGGCTATTAAATATTTTAGATGACCTCCATCTATCTTTTGTAGACAGAGCAATGCCTTTTAATCCTCTCGGGTCTCTAACATTCATTACACCGTTGCAGCTTTGACTTTGCATTTGTATAAACGGGGGAATAATCCCCCCCCCCCCCCCCCAGCACATCTCACTCCGTAAAACCCAGAGCACCTGAAAGCAGCAACAGATTGGTTGATTTCTTTCCCTCCTCTGCCCCATCCGGCGTGCTGTCAGACTGTATGTGGGAGGGACATGGTTCTGTTTCCAGCTTTAGGCGAAATGGAGCATTTAATATTATCAAAGGCCCTGACTAGTTTCTGTGTGGCTCTGTGTTTACACCTTTAGCTTGGTTTTACTTCTCAGGGCACATGTTGAACCAGTAACCAGAGGTGTTACAGGCACATGTAGGTGTTAAGATCAAAACAAGGAAGGACCTGATTAACATTACGTTCGTAAAAGCCTCTTGTGATTTAATAAAAAGTTCCTTCTGTGGACCCTCAGTCACATGCCTTGGTATGGCTGTCCTATCTTGTTGGGCTCTGTCAGGTCAGATCACCGAGCAGCATCTCGTCATGATTCCATGCAACTCTGCAGCTTGCACTCAGCCGACCAGTCTTCTTCAGCTTTTGTCCACATGGACACCAGAAGAGAAACATACGCAGATCAGCGACCCATAATCAGGTTAAAAGCTCTGATAGGTCGCTCAGGTCCTCCTCCACTCTCATTTGCTCCACTGCTGCAGAGGAGTGTTGTGATTGGCTGGAGCAGGACAGGCGGGATGTGTCGTCCTCGTCCACCGCCATTACTGCCGTCCTTCCCGACCGCAAACCGCTCCTCCGTGCATCCTTCTCTTCTTTCTCCTCTTGTTCCCGTCGCCTCTCCCTCCTGCTCCTCCTCTGCTCCCCCACCATCCACATGCTGTCCTCCTCGTCATCCTTCCCCTGCACCTCCCTGTCAAAGTCCAGGAGCTCCTCCATCATTTCCTCGATCTCTGTCTCTCCATCCATCTCCTCCTCCACCTCAGATCGGAGTTCACCCATGCTCTCAGTTCGGTTGGTATCATCTGTCTCCTCCTCTTCCATTAGACCCTTGGGCCTGTCGGGGGGGTCGCTGGCCTGGCTTTCTCCAAACTCCAGGATGGTTGGCAGGTTGCCCTGCTTGGGACATCTCTTCCTGAGGCTGACCAAGAAGGGCTGGGGCAGGGAGAAGATGTCCACATTGTTCCCGAGATCGATCCACGTCACGCTGGGAAAACTGTTAGGATCCTGTGAAGGAAGATATTTTACAAATTAACAACAATTCTATCATTGCCAGAAATTAACAGTGCTTGTATTTTTACATTTTGTTGTTGTTGTTCTTGTGATTTTCACCTGTTGAATAGCAAAGGTGAGCAATAATATTTTTGTCAGGGTCAGTGTGTGTGTTTTACTAAAATAAGTCATAACACTACGTTTTTCTTTGAAACCTACAGAAATTAATAACTACGAGCTAATTCCCTTTTACAGTAAACCCAATTCAAGGTGTCCACCACAACCAACTGTCTTAAGAAAAGAAATGACCATTACCCAATCAATTTTACAGATATTATCCTAAACTTAAGTGTAAGTGTAGCTGAGAAAGATCTCTATTAAATATTCTAAGACCCTGTTAATAAGAGAACAACCACAGAAAACGTTAGTGTTTTTTCTATATTTATTGGGATGAATAAACAAAAAATGAGCAGGAATGGAAATGCTGTAGTTTTTGTGCCAGGCAGGGTTGCCACATAAGAAATTATAAACTATTGTAAGGTAACTTTAAAATTATTGTTGTGTGTACTGAGTGAAGGTGTTGTAAGATGAGGTGTGTTTAGCGAACATGTATACAGAAAAGGAGGGGGCAATAATAACAACATATTTAGGTTTATCTGGCAACCCTGATGCTGGGCTCAGCTTCTGTATTGTGCATGCATTGTCAGCATGATCACAGTTCCATGTCTTCAGACCTAGAATTTTATTGGTTTTGTTCCTAAATGCTACATACATTTATCTTCCATCCAATCTGGCTTCAGGAAACAACACAGAACAATGACACTAACGGTTTTTAATGATGTTGTTGAAGCTTTGAATGCTAAAGATTACTGTGCTGCAAGTTACTTAGACCTGTCCAAAGCCTTTGATACCGTAGCTCATGCCATCTTATGCCACAAGCTCTCAGATATTGGCTTCTCAGATCACACTGTTGGCTGGTTCTCAAACTATTTCTCAGGTCGGAGGCAATGTGTTCGACATAATGGTACTTCATCTAGCTACCCGTCACCAATGGTGTGCCACAAGGCTCAATTTTAGGTCCCACTCCTTTTACAATGTACTGTATATAAATAATGTAAGTCAAAACATTCCTGACGCATCCTTCCATCTCTATGCCGATGACACTGATATTTATTGTCGAGCTAACACAGTTGCCAAGGTTTTCCAGCGTCTACAGTCAGCATTTGACATCATTCAGTCAGACTTATTCCACCTCAAGCTGGTGCTAAATGATGACTAAACCAATGGGATGTGGCTTTCCAACAGAAAGTCGGTGCCAGCAACTCTTCGTCCAATCTCATCCATGCATGGTGCTCCTATTGAGTTTGTAGATTCTTTTAAATATTTGGGAACCTGATAAAGAAACTTAAATTAAAACTGGGTTTCTTTTTCAGAAATAGATCTTGCTTAACTCTAAATGCCAGAAAACACCTTGTAACCGCTAACTAATCAGGTCTCCCTTGTAAATGAGTCCTCGAGGCTCAATGGGATTAACCTGTCTAAATAAAGGTTGAATGAAAAAAAAACTTCCTACCAGCCATTGACTATGGTGACACTATTTACATGAATGCCCCTGCCAGCTGCTTGCAGATGTTGGATGCTGTCTACCATGGCACACTAAGATTCATAACTGGTTGTAACTACCGTAATATCACTGCACTCTGGACTCCTTGGTCAGTTGGTCATCATCTACATGTAGGCTCTCACAATGGTTTATTTTCATCTATAAATCACTCCTTGGTCTGCTACCTTCTTATATCTCCTCTTACATGTCACGCTGTCAGTGCAGTTACAACATGCGCTCTCAGGCCATCATTACCTGCAGCGTTCCCTCAGTGCGAAATGAACTAGGCAAAAAGACCTTTTCCTACTCAGCTCCTGCAACCTGAAACATCTTGCAACAGGAACTGAAATTGTCCTCCTTGATTTATTTAAGGGGTTTCAAACATTTGATAATGTCAATAGAAAAATCAAAGCAAATATGTTCTTGTTTTTAGTATTTCACCTTGTTTTACAGCACCCTGATTTATTGTTTTATACACTACTCTTATTTTAACTGCATTTTTACTGTAGTTTATTGTTGTCATTGTTTACTGTTACTGTTGTCTGTACTTTATATGTTCTGTCTGGAACAGGTCCCTCTTGTAAATGAGTCCTCAAGGCTCAATGAGACTAACCTGTATAAATAAAGGTTGAATGAAAATAAAGGAATGAAAAGTTTTACAAATATTGAAGTAAAGTTTGTAGTAATTACAACTGAGAGTCATTCACAACACATACAGCCATAGGAGTCACATTAATTATATGTGATGGGGACATGTCCCCCTGACATTTAAAAAATATTGAATTTGACACCCCCACATTTACCATGAAATATTAGTTCACCCAGCGCTGTTTCTATTTCTTCTTGAACAAATCCATTCCACTTTGTTAATAGGAGAATACTCAAACCACTAAAAGTCCACTCCAGGTTACCTACAACAAATCACCACACCGTGTGCAGTGTTTCCTCTAGGTCACTTGGC